AAGCTGCACTTCATATTAGTGACAAACTTTGGTGTTTTTGATGAGTTACTTTCATTTTTGCTTCTACTTTTCATTTAAAATATACGTTTCTATTCCCAGCAGGTTTCTAAGGTTCTTCTTCTACATATTAAAAAGTTGTTAAACAACTGAGTGGCGCACTACTGCTACTAGTGGTGAGAAAGTGTATTGCACCTTAGGTCCCACGGCCTTCTGCAGCCTAAAATTAAAAACTGTTGTTCTTTTGAGGCCCTCAAGGTGGTGCTCGCGGCCCACATTTGGGTCGCGGCCCATGGGTTAAGAATCTCTGATMTAGTTGATACAATTTGCTTCTTTGGGAGATCAGTGCCCGTATTTATAAAACTTATTAGAGTGGATTTTTAGACGTAAGAGCTGAAAATTTCTTACATTTGCTCCTACTCTCAGACTTAAGTGTGTCAGTTATCAAAATTCTTAAATCTAAGAATCGCTCTTACTCTCAAGAAAAGTTCAGACTGCTCCAGAGGACTCTTAAGTGGTTCAGAGTTGCCACTAGGGGTCTGAGATGAACTGAGGAGACAGATTACAGCTGTCCTCCTCCCCACCTGACTGTTATTCTCAGTTATAAGGTGGAAAACAGGTTTAATCAGTAATATACAAAAGAAACAAAAGGTATAAAAAAAATAAAAAACTGCACATAATGTTGGACTAAAAGGCGGATATCTGTGTGTAGCTTTTGAAGAAAATATTAAATATACTCAGCTGGTGAGCGCATGGAGCAGCTCAACATTACCTCAGGCTCTGAGACATAAAACAACTTTAAAGCTGCTGAGTTTTTGATTAAAAAAAAATTGTGAGATTTTCATCTGTTTTCATGATGCAAATGAGGACATTTTTTGTAATTTACAGACAATCAGTACAAGGTGACAACATTAGTGTGTTGAAAGTGAACTTAGCATTTTCACAGTCTTATCTTGACTTTTCTCCAACAAAATTCTTGAACATGAAATCCGAGGCAGTGACTGGTCCATGCCGGGKTTTTTTCTAACTACATCATCCAGGATCAGCTTTGCCGCACAGCCAGGTGTCGCAAATCAGCTCTAAGACTGACACTTAAGAATTACTCCTACACTTCGCTTAAAGTAAGACTGAGACGCTTGATAACTGACCTTTCCTCTCAGCTTTTAACTAAGAATTTTTTTACACTTAAGTCCACTCTTAGCAGCATTCTTAAAGGTACAGTGTGTAGGATTTTGTCAATTCTTTTAGCCAAAATTGAGATAATCACTAATAATTATAATAAAAAAAACATGTCTAATCATTGCAGACAAAGACCTTGTTTTATTATTTTTACCTTATAAAAAGCTGTTTATATCTCCATGGTCGCGGGTCGCCACTACAGGCAGCCGCCATCTTGTCTACGAAGGCTCATGAAGGACAAACTGCGGTGGCAGCGTCAAAAACGGTTTTAGTTGTAATACTATAAATGTAATATTTGTTGTCTGTCATTGTAGCTGGGATCATTTTACTTATTAAAGCTCATAATCTTACCACTTGAAACATCACTAGCCCTGAAGCTGCTGGTAGGCGTCGCGGTTGGAATTATCAAAGGTTTTTGACACCTGAGAGACACCGTAGCAACTCCTTTGTGTTTGGAAGCGGGGGTGGGGGTGGGGGGAGGACAAGGGAGGATGATTCAACCACTCAACCACTAGATGTCGCTGAAAACAACAAATCCTACACACTGTGCCTTTAATTCTAATAAGTTTTATAAATATGGGCCCAGATAATTTAGCATTGGACAACACTAAGTTCCCATCTGGATTTCTGCCAAAACAGCCTAGAATTTTCAAACACGTAGCCAATTCTAGGAATACTTTGAAAGCAGCTAACCCTCCGAAAGATGACTCAGAGGTCTTTTTAAGAGTTTTTTCCCCCTGTGTTTTCAGCCACACAAAAACTGTTTGACACTTTCTTAATCTGTTGTGATTTTGCCTTCCGTGTGCCGTACAAATGGCTTTCCTTGAATCTTTCCTCCTGGAATCAACGTTTGGGTTTTTTTTCGGTACAGTTCAAAGCAATTTCCACTCTTGTGTCACGCTTGTCTGATCTGTGATTGACCGAGAATAAAAATGAAAGGGATGGAAATCAGATTGAAATGCAAATGAGCTGACTGTCACAATATGATGTCTGCTTTCTGCTGTCAGAAACAATAACTCTGTTATATTTCTTAGGATGTTTTTTTTTTTGTTTCCCCAACCCTGATTCGTAATTATAGACGTAATTATAGATGACTGCAGGTAAGAAAATCTTTTTTTTTTGTTTGTAAAGACAATATTTTAATGTTTACAAGAACTAAATAACAATTACAATGGAAGCAAGCAAAAAAATAAAACTGTTGCCCTTCAATTTTATCACAAGAAATCTGAGACACTCGTGACTGCGCAAAATGTAGGTGTAGGGCCAAAAAGGCAGGGGTGAAAAGCATTTCACCTACCCTTATTTAGCACGTTCACAAAAAGATCCTGGGGTCGGATTTATAAAATTGGCGTATGCACAATATGAGCCCAGAAACTTGCGTATGCCACTTTTTACGCCAAGGTTGTGATTTATAAAATCCAAACTTGACGTGAAAATGTGCAGTGCCTCACGCCAGCTCTAACCCATGCGTACGCTCATTTTGGAGACGTGAAACTGCGACACAGATGGTGAAGTGAGGAATTAGAGCCACACTGTGTAATGATCACTGTCAGATATTTAATTTACCTTCATAATCAAACTAAGATTTTATTCAACTTTATCATCAGCTTTCTTAACAGTAATATTTATGCTTCTGCTGCTGAGCCATGAGGAGCTTTGAAATAAAAAAAACTTAAATCTTAAATAAAAGTTCCCGTGCGCAACTCCATTCATCTGCTTCCTCCTCACGACCCTGACCCACAGACCACAGACCCCTCCCCGATAAGAACAGCAGGACAGCAAAAGTCACGCTTTGGATACACGCACAAGGCGCATCCACCTCGCCAGTGTGGATGTTATAAAACTTCACGTTTAAAGTCTGTATTTGTCAAGCGCGCGCGGGGGGATGTGTGTACGCGGGGGGGTCTACCACGGATAACAGAGCAGGCAGGAGGGGGAGAGGATGAGGAGAAGTG